AAAACAGTCCCTGCCTTCATGGAGCTTATAGTCTAGTAGAGGGATAAAATATGCACAGATAATGATGGTACACTCTACATTACAGGTATACTAAAGAGGTACATACATGTGCTATGTGAGGGAAGAAAGTTGAGTTCAAGAAAGACCTCGTAGAGAAGGTGATATTTGAGTTGAGTTTTGTTATAATTACTGTTTATTAATAATAAATAAAATAACATTAAAACCTAATAAGTAGTGGATGACCAGTCCTTGCCCCACCCCCACTCCCAAACCAAAACTATACCAACAAATAGGTGAGAGGAAGATAGAAATATCATATGGGTAGGAGGGCATTCTGGTTTCAGGGACTAGCACAAGCTCATTTCCACAGATGTGGGAAAACATGGGGCTTGTAGAATGGGGAGATGAATAGGAGAATCAATATGCTGCAGGAGCATAGAGAGTATGGTGGGTCTTGAATGCCAAGCCCCTTGAAAAGCAATTTGTGGGTAGTTCTCCAACAACCCAGATATAGTACATATTGTGAAGAGCAAACAAAAGACATTATTGGCCCCTAAAATCTCGTAACTAAGATTTTACAACCAATGCATATTAGCTCCTACTAGGTGGTGCAGTAGATAGAGTGCTGGGCCTGAAGTCAGGAAGACTCATTTTCCTGAGTTCAAATCTGGCCTCAGACACCTACTAGCTATGTGACCCTGGGCAAGTCACTTAACCCTGTTTGACTCAGTTTCCTCATCTGTAAAATGATGGAGAAGGAAATAGCAAACCACTCCACTATCTTTGCCATGAAAACCCCTAATGGGGTCATGAAGAGTCAGACATGACTGAAACAACAAATCACACTTAGGTCTCCTCACCAAGGTTACCCCAGGTTTAAACTACCCTATAGATCTGTATCTACTCAAAACAGAGACCACAATCCCCACCATTTGCTAGTCAGCCAGAGGACACATATAGCAGTTTGCCCGGGGTCACAATGCCAGTATGTTTCAGGGTCAGGACTTAAACTCAGGTCTTCCTGCTCTTAGGCTGGCTCTCTACCCACTACTCCATGCTTCTGCTCACAATCAATTCTATTTATTTCCCAGAAACCTTCTATCTGTGCTTTGAAGCAAAGGTGCCGTTATTAGCCAAGTTGAAGTATGTGAGTGAGAGCTACAGTATCTTAATCACGTTGATTAAGAGATTATCTGAATTCACTGTGCAACCATCTAATAAAGAGTAAACAGAGGGGGTTATTAACCTAATAAAAAGAGCTGGCAACTGCCATCTGAAATAATGCCAATTCACTGAATCACATGGCTGTCCACTGTGCTCAATGTTCAGAAAGGAGCCAGTGGATGGATTTGTTCAGGGCTTAATTTTATTGAATTTAAGACACCAAAGATGAGGTGAGATTGAGTTGAAAGAGTAGAAACGGGGAAACAGAAGGTGGTGCTGATGGAACAGCCAACTCTTGCCTCTCCTGGCCCTGTTTTTCTGTTGGTTTTCATTTTAATGCTTACTGTTTAAATTAAAACCACCCTGGATGACAGATCTTCATTTCTCTTCCCTTTCCACACCTTGGAGGTGATTTGCGTGAACCACGCAGAAATATTCAGGGACTCAGCTATTCCAGTCATTGCTCTGGCCCTGAGACCAAGGCTGCAATGCAGAGAAATGAGAAAAGTCTCTAAATTTAGGGCAAAATTCTCTCAGTGATGTCAGTAGGCATCTGCATATGTGGGGAGGAGGAGAGCCGAGAATAAGCATTCTTTGTTGGGAGACCAGGTTGTTGGCTCTAGTTACGAGGCATGTGTGTGGCCTGGATGGGGTTTGAAGACCTTGGGGGCCAGGTCGGGGGGGGGGGTGTTACTGTCTCCCCAGAGGCTTTTCCTATGACAGGTTCGACTTGATTTTATAATCCCAGGCTTTTGTGCCAGAAGGGACAAGATCATAGGTTGAAATAGAGGAGGGGCCTTGGAGGCCATTACATCTAACTCCTTCATTTTACCAAAGAGAAAACCCAGGGCCAATGAGGTTAAATGAGTTGTCTGAGGTCACTCAGGTAGCGACACATCTAGTATTGGAATCCAGTGCCTCTGACTTCCAATCCTTAGCATAAAATAAATTCCTAGTTGCTGTGGAGAGTAGGATTTTCTGGCATGCTCAATGTACATTTGTAAAAAGTTCTATTGAAAAGGGTTTCTGGGTGCATTGCTTACTCACCCCCAATGCAGTACACCCCAGGATGCTTCCTTGGTCTACCCCTAATCCCACCTCTGCTTTTATAGTCATGCAGGAAGGCCATAGGCATTTATTAAATACTTTCTAAGCTCCAGGAACTGTGTTAAGTGCTGGGGATGCTAAGAAAGCCCTCCCCCACCAAAAAAAAGCCTTCCCCTGGAGCTCACATGGAAATGCAATGGGAGAGACAGAATGTAAATAACTATGTGCACATATAAGATATATACAGAATAAATGGAAAAGTAATGTGGGGGGGGGCATTAGAAGAGGGGAAGGACAATGAAGGTTTTCCTAGAGAAGGTAGGATTTGAGCTGAGTGGTGAAGGAAGCCAGGGGAGGGAGAACGGAGGGCCTGCCAGGCATGGGGCAAAGACAATGTAAAAAGCCCAGATCTCAGTGATGGAGTGTAATGTGTGAGCAGCAGCAAGGACAGTGTAGCTGGATTGTTGAGTGCATGGAGGTGAGAAAAATGTAAAGACTAGAAAAGTAGGAGGGAGCCAGGTGGTGCTGGGATTTAAATGCCAAGTAGAGGATTTTATATTTGAACCTGGAGGTAATAGGGAGCCACAGGAGTTTAAAGAGTAGCGGATAACAGTCTTCCATTTGTTCATTTGATCAACATTTATTAAGTACCTACTATGTACCAGGTACTGTGCTAAGTGATGAAGATATAAAAAGAGGCAAAAAGACAACCCCTGCCCTCAGGGAACTGTGCTTTATGAAAATCACTTTGGTGACTAAGTGGAAGATGGATTGGAGTGAGGAGAGACTTGAGGCAGGGAACCCGCCTCAGAAATTCAGAAATTCAGTCGTGAGACCTAACTCTTACATTTATGAGCTATGTGACCTTGGCTAGTTATTGTTCCTCTGAGTTTCAGTCTCCTCATCTATAAAATGGGTATAATGATATTTGTACTATTTAGTTCACAGCTTTATTGCAATAGTGCAGGTGAGAGGGGATAAAAGATGCTCCAGGGTGGTAAGTGTATGAGTAGAGAGAAGGCAATGTATAGTAGAGGTATTGGGAAGACAGAAATGACGACAGGTTAGATACATGGTGTGATGGAGAGTAGTAAGTCAAGGTCACAAGCCTAGGTGACTAGAAGGATGGTGGCATCCTTGACTGTAATAGGGAAATCTGGAAGAGAGGAGGGGTCCCTACTGGATATCCAGTCTGAGATGTCCAAAAACCAGCTGGCACATGGGAGGGATATTAGGGCTGGATATATAGGTCTCGGCAATGATCTGAATGGAGATGATCAAAGAACCAACGGGAGATGGTGGGATCACCAAACAAGACCGTATAGAAGGAGAAGAGAAGAGGGCCCAGAGTTTTGGAAGACGCCTGTGAACGGTAGGCATGGTCTAGAGGAAGATACAGCCAGGGACACTGAGAAAGTGTTGTCAGGAGAGGGGGAGAACCCAGAGACAGTAATGTAATGAAAACCTAGATAAGAGAGGGTAACCCGGAGGAAGGCGTCCTTAGAGGGATCAGTGAGATCTCGAGGAATGATTGAGAAAAAGCCCGGGGATCCCCAGGACTTGGGGAATGAACTCTCAGTCTGACCCTTGGTGATGGTGGGGGGTTCAATAAACCTCAGAACAGTTTCAGGTGCCCAATAAGTCCCCAGTGTACTAAAAAGCCACTTAAGCTCCCACATCCAGATCAGAGAGGCACAGCAAATGACAAGGTGGTGCCCCGACACACAACAGAATATTTTTCTCCTGAAAATTTAAAATGAGGGTTCTGACACAGCCTTACACTGTGATTCCATTGCAGTAAGGTTTCATCTCTTCAGAACTGGAAGAGAAACAAATTTGGAAACTGGCCCAGAGAGACAGATTTAAAGGGCTAGAAGCCAGCAGCACCTACTGATAAGGACATCATAAAAAAAATGTTAGCTGATCCTGCCTTTAAACATTGCCACCCATTAGTGTGCCAGAGAGGCTCATACAACATTCAGAAATTCAGAATCGTGAGGCCTCTTATATTTATGAGCTACGTGACCCTGGCTAGTATTGTTCCTCTGAGTTTCAGTCTCCTCCTCCATAAAATGGGCATAATGATATTTGTACTATTTAGTTCACAGTTTTATTGTG